CATACAACTCCAAAAGCCTTTTCAACGGAGCAGCAGCACCAGTGCTACCATTCACGGGGCCAATACGATGTTGAAGACAAAGAAATGGCCTCGTCGTCGAATGAAAGCAGTGACAGACACAATATGGCTTCGGGAACCCCGACGGCGTGTATGGGCAGTTATCTCACGCGATATACACTCAAAGGGCATAAATGCTTGCGCTTGTCAGCCCCGAAGACTGTCTGGCTGTGTTGTGTAATGAAGCTGGCGCATGCCCTGGATGTCTAGATCGGACCGCGAGAGGGCAAGGCACAGATATGGGGACCAACTAGCGAGATGCAATGATTGGGGCGGATATCATTCCTGCTTTAATGTGATCTGTGCCAAATTGAGACTCTCTGATCTGCGCGATCAATTGAATCAAGGGTTAATTATGTTGGTGGCGTCAGTTCGTGCATAGTCTGGCGTCTTAATGAAAAGTGAGCTCCTCTCTAGTGATGGGCAACGATAGGTCCAAAGACTCAGAGGGAAGGACGTATGTTGGAAATTGCGTGTGAAGGGTACATTCTGGGTCACTCCCCGCACCAATAGCCGGGTAATTCCTGCAATGCTATCTATCGAGCTGGATCGAATGAAAAGTGACATCCGTCATCATTGGCGCGCCGTCTCGTCGCTGCTTAGTGGTCGACGGTCTTGGTTGAGTGATGTTGGCCAAGGTAACTGATCGTCACGTCGGACATTGTGCCCTGTGCAGCTTACTATCTGCGGGCTGGGTCCCGGTCTGAGACCCCGGAGGACTGATTACTTTCAAGGTTTATGCAAGGGCCACTGGCACTATCCCTAGCCAACCCCAAAAGTCCGTGCCTCGGGTACGGATGGTCGTTGCTCGAACGGGTTGTGGACACCGGGCGGTCCCCTCACGCCCCTGCTGAAAAGCACCCGGTGGCGTCGTTCGAGTCAGAGGTACCGCGCCGTTTTGTTGCGCTGAACTTGCGGCCACCCCCAGGGCCCCACCGAGTCCCTTCCCGCCCAGAGACACCAGACGGTACAAGCCGCAACGTCCGGGCCTCGATCAGAGGGGGCAGACGAGTCAGCGCACTTTCGCCCACTAACCGGATCAGGATGTCGTTCGCGGGCCAATCACATCTGCCCCAGCCGACTTCATCACCTTATTATACACTAGACTGGAGGTGCTCGACGCGATGGGGAAGACGGGTTTCGATAGGTGATGGGTGACTGCCGATGCTCTTGGAGGCGCCGAGAGGTTTCGGGGACGCATAAGTTTCCGACGTAGATAGGGCATGAGCCAGGCCATTGTCCCGAGAGACTAATGTACAGGGCGTGGAGGCTTCTTCTCTCACCTCGAGTGGTGCTCATTTGGATTTGTGCTTTCCAGCGGCGGCATCGCGCGGCGAGCATTAAAGCCAGTGCTGCCATGGTAAGAGAGTATAGTCTAGAGGAACCATCAGATCTTCGTAGTATGCAAGTCTGTCAGAAGTAGATGCCCCTTTCTTGACAAAAAACCGCGTCTGTTCCTGATTGACCTGGGGGCATGGCAAGATTATAGGAGCCGATCCGTGGTAGGGATCTCGAGACAGGAAATGCTCGTATTGTCAATTCTTCAACAACGCCGCCGCCACCAAAGTAAAGTTTAATCCCCCCGTCAGGAGATGTCTCAGGACTTCAATCACACCGCACTGGGTGTAGGGCCGGCCGTCCTCCGAGTACGGTTCCTGCCGGGGTTTTATAAGACGTGACGGTCCCCGAGTTCTCTACGTTGGAAATGGTCGACTATCTGAGGAATCCATTGACATTGAGTCAACAACACGAACATCATGTCTGAGCCCAGCTTTACCTCTGCGAACACCGTCGCTCCAGCGGCAACCGGGAACCTGGTCGACCTTCACTACGTTGTGTTTGGTGTTGGCTATGGCGTTTCCACTCTCCTTCTTCTTTTGCGGCTTTACAGCAGGTATCGTTATAGTGGTCTCAGGCTAGATGACAGTAAGTGATCACGCAGCCGAAGAACGTACAGCAAAAGAGCACGACTGACGTACTGTACCCAGTGTGGGTGGTATTTTCCTGGGTAAGTAAGAGATAGGAGTTCACGTTCATGAGACCAAGAACTCATTTCGGCACGCCAGGTGTTTTCGTCCGCCATGCAAATTCTGATGATAGGCAAGTAACCCCAAGACCCGGGGGTGGAAAATGCTAACGAAGTTGGCGTAGTCGCGATATCCATGGGTACAATGTGCTTCCCGCGAGTATCCATTCCAGACGATCGATTCCGGATATACGTCGAGGTGCGTACCGTGGCCTGTTCAGACGAGACAACCATGGTTGACAAGCAGTCACAGCTCAGTTACAATGCGGCGCCGGCTTTCATGATGTCCATCGGCTGTGCGAAGGCGTCTATACTCTGCCTTTATATGCAACTATTCCCCAGTACAAAGTTCAATACCATCGCCAAGATCACACAGGGTGTTGTGATCATGACCACGGTCGCCATCACCCTGCTGCTATACCTCTCGCGCCTTCCGAATCTGTCACTCGATGCTGTGGCCCTCTTTCTGGCAACGGCCGCCTCAAACATTGTCATGGACGTGGTGTTGCTGATTCTTCCAATTCCCACCGTATTCAACCTCCAGATGGCACTCAATGTCAAGCTTCTTGTCGCAGGACTATTCGGTTTGGGCTTACTGTACGTCGCCATGCACCAGAGCTTCGAATGAGAACTGACGTAGATTGCAGAACCACTGTCACCTCCACCCTCCGGCTGTATCTTCTCATCCAAATTCAAGGCAGCGAGGACCTGACCTGGGACGCCGCCCCAGCGAATATCACTTCGTACGTTATGCGGAAGTACAATCTGCAACACTCACTAACGGACGAAAAGGTTCCTCGAAGTTAATCTCCTTCTAATCTGCACTTGTGTGCCCGCTGTGCGCCAATTCTTCAGGAAACTCAAGCGCAGCTCCTCCATAGTGAATCAATCCAGCTTCACAAACCGAGTCTCGGGACAAGACAGTTACGCCTGGACAGTTCGAGTCAAGTTCGACTGCGCGAGCCGACGGCTGACGCCGATGTAGAATTGGGAAACGTCTCGAGAAGTCATTCAAGCGGCGCGGACAGCGCTTGGAGCGAGCCGAAACTCGGAAAGAACATGAACGAATCTTCGTAGATTTGACAGCATAAGACGGCACAATAAAAGTTTTTTGAGCTCAAGCCATCGAACATAAGAAGCGGGCTCTGTCTCCCTGATCAGTTACAAACAGCCCTTGACCCAACTACACGGCCAGATCACAGCTATAAACACTGGAAAAGGTCTCATTGGTCCTCTCCTCTTTGCCCTAGCAACATGGAAGCAGCCAGACGGAGCCAGACTCCCTATCAGGACGGGTTGGTCGGCATGGGGCAGATTACACGGAAGCTGAGCCCCCCAGCCCTGCCGGCCGCTGCATATGTGTAACCATTCGGCTTGCCCGGTTTTGCTAGTGTCTTCTCCGAATGGCCTGACAACGTCAACAATACCCCGCTCTTCTACACTATAACCGTGGTATTACAATCAGGAAGCGAGGGTCCGGCTGCCCAGCATCAGCGTCTGCAGTGGCTGTCCCAGACCTTGTTTCGTCAACATGACCATCCGTTCCTGCGTATTGAAGCGGTGAGCGATCATGGGTACTTCAGCGAGATGCCTACGACTGGATACGGGCGGATTCGCGAAGTCGTGAGTATAAAAACCCCGACTCTTTCCCCGTCCCTTCTGACCTCTACAATCAATCACGGTCTCTTTCTTCCGCATCTCTTGAGTAACTATGCAAATCTTTTATCTTACGGTCGCATTCATCCTAGCGGCTACCGCCATCGAATCAGTCGCCGTTGAACGCTCTGAAAGCAAATGTGTATGTCGGCAATCCACACACCACATCATCTCATACTAACGCTAGGCTGAAAGTGTCTCGCTCTCCTGAAGGACGACGTACTTTCTGGAAAGGTTTTGACTCCGTGCAATGAGGATTTTCAACATCGCTTGGAGTCGTACTACTCCGCCAATGCGGCTGAGCCACCTCGCTGCATGGTGTTGCCTCAGACTGCTGAAGACGTCGCCAGGACCATCCAGATCATATCTGCTCGACGCTGTCACTTTGGAATGAGAAGCGGGGCTCACTCGGCGTTCCGCGGCTCGAACGGGCTCAAGGATGGCATTACAGTCGATTTTGGTGAGTATCGCCTCTTCATCTGGCATCAAAGCTCACATGAGATAGGCTACATGAACTCGACCGAATATGACCCGACCACCGGCATCGCTTCCGTCCGCCCAGGCTCGAACTGGGGCGATGTATACTCCGCTCTGGATCCGTTCGGTGTCACGGCTGTTGGAGGACGAGCTTCTGTCGTCGGGGTTGGGGGTTTTACCACGGGCGGTGGGGTACGTGTCCTCTGTCCCTCTGCTCCCGAGACCGTCGCGGACCGAGCAAAGACCGGTTTCTTCCCGACAGAAGAAGACTGACTCTCGACAGTACTCTTTCCACAGTAACAGGAGAGGATTCGCTTGCGACAATGTTGTCAACTTCGAGGTTGTTCTCGCCAATGGTACCATTGTCAATGCAAACGCGCACGAGAACGCTGGTCTCTGGAGAGCTCTCAAGGGGGGCTCGGGAAACTTTGGCTTCGTCACACGGGTTGATGTCGGTAAGTGGCAAATGATGTCGTGACGTGAGCGTACCTAACGAGGCGCAATGATGGCTAACCTTTCCACAGAGGTCGTCCGTTCGACCCAGATATGGGGCGGGATTACAACCTACGACCTGAGCAAGACAGGCGACGTGGTCAACGCTTACGTGAACTTTGTCAACACCATGGAAGAAGACCCGGCCAGCCAGGCCATCGTGACTCTGCTGTATGGCCAGCAGGGGTTGAGCCTCGTCGCAGTATTAACAAACAGTGACGCGAAAAGTTCCGCGCCCGCCTTCCGAGAATTTACCAGCATTGCCAACGTTTCAAGCACAGCTCGCGTCGGATCTGTCGCAGAGATGGTTCCTGAGTTCACCGGACCAACTCCCCTAGGACTCTAGTACGTCTCGTATCGAAATCCACCAAAGGGGCGACGTGGCTGACCATGACACAGCGCCAATTGGAGGACCGGCATGACCTCACACGGCGCCCCTATTATGGACTTTATTCTTCGTACCGTGACCGAATACACGAAGAGAATGCAGCTCGCAGCTCCAGCCTCCAACTTTGAGCTTCTCACTCAATTCCAGCCCGTGACCAAGTCGATGGTGGCCCATGGCGACGAACGAGGTGGCAACATCCTCGGCCTCGGGAGGGTAGTTGCAGACGGTCCGGCTCTCATGTGGCTCCTAGCACTCACGGTGGATACCGCGGAGAACCAGGAGCTGATCTTGCCTCTCTTACTCGAACTAGAGCGTGTCATCAACAAGTATGCTGATAAGGAGGGACTTCAAGAAGACTGGGAGTTCCTAAACTACAGCGGCCTTGATCAGACGCCAATGCTGCATTATGGCGAGGAAACAGTCCACTTCATAAGGAACATTTCGTTGGAATACGATCCCAACAGAGTTTTCCAGAACCTTCGGAGGACGGGCTTTCGGATCCCTGTTTGAGTCCTACACACAGTGGACAGGCCTGGCGTGGAGAAAGCAAGAGCGGCCGTGACGTTTCAAAGTATAGATATTCCAAGATGCAGGCTATTGCCTGCCTGGCTTTCACTGATATTTGGATAACGTGATTACTTTAGATAATAGACGCGTAGAATAGATACCTGCCTGACTCATAGCGGTGCCGATGTATCCTGAAGGTTCGCAATCGAGGGGATGATTGTTCATTGGCTAGTGATCAACGCCACCCCTCCATGTGGCTGGGGAGCGCCACCCCCAACTACGACTTGGACCTTCCGTGCTCGTGACAAAGGCAGTCAAACAAACGGGGATGGGCGGGCCGTTACACCCCTTAACCAATGCAGATGGAATCTTGCACTACATACAGCTCTGGCGTATACCGCAGCCACCGGTCGGATGTTGTCCACCTATCTATCGAAACAAAAGTGGAAATCGCGGATGCAGCTGCGGCAGAGAGAAAAGTAGCCATTCTGCTGGGAAATTAAGGGAAACTAAGTGCGGCTGGGATGTTCTCATATGTGAAAGGCATGCCAGTAGTGATCAACGAGAACAAGTAGTCGGGTCTCAAGGTCGTAAACGGAGCTGAATTCATAGGCAAGGGTATCATCCACTCGCTGGGACTCAAAGAGGTCATTGTGGGAGAGAAGCTGTCCTCATTCATTGCCCCCCCCCCCCCCCCCCCCCCCCGGGTAATATCCTCTAGTTCGACCAGACCGCTGGATTGGTATATCCCAATTTATCTGCCGGTAATGCGATGTTGTCGATAGCCAGTATACGGGTCGCGAAAAAGCATGACAAAACCCCTAGACCCGATTCAGGGATAGGAAATGCTAAGCTGGGGTTGATCGGCACTGGATTGCAATGTACACTAGGATTCGCGGCAACGGACTTTCGGGCTCAGAGCCGGATTCTCGGGAAAACTGAGCTAGGGTTCTACGGAAAGACGACAAGCAGGAAGACCGGAGGGCTTGAAAAATGCGACGCAGTGACTTGCTAATACCGGTTGACACTGGAATAGCGGTTCATAACGACAGTCCATGTATGGTGTCAGTGGATGTATGAATTTTGGAAGATGACACTTGGTTCGAGACTGAGAATGTCGGGATGATCAGCTGCAAGCTATTTGCATTCACTCTGTCGACGATGACGAGGAAGAGTAAATGAACATGTGCTATCAAAGATTCATCGCGCTTCTGGCTAACATACAGGTCGAGCAAAAGAGGAGAAGCTTGTTTACGAATATGTGGCAATCCGGGCACAGCATGGCTTTCCAACGCTTGGCATGTCATCTTAGGCTCTAGGTATTTGGTCTTCGGTCAAGTGATCGTCGATGTATGAACTGAAAGGCTGTCATATTAGCAGGAATGCCCCAATCGGGAAGAATATACGAACCGCGAGGCTTCAAAAGATGATGTCGCAAGGTGACTGCAGTCAGGGCGGCCATTCCAAGGGCAGACATAAAGTCCGTCTGATCTCATGCGAGTTTCCAAGTACAGCGGATTATTTCGTGTATACGAAGCCCTGTCTTGCTCCAGCTCAGGGCCAGTCACTAGGAGCGCCGGTCCTGCAGTGAGCTCTCGAGCATCGGATAAGTCTAGTCGAGAGAAGCGTAGGAAGCCGCGATCGATTTCGTCAAAAGTGGCTTTTTGAGGCTGCGCCACTGATTGTGAGCATCCGCATCCATTTGTCGTCGAATTATTCAGGTTGCTACCCTGACACGTATATCTGCCACAAGTTAGCAGAGAGTAAGAAGGAGGCGCATATTTCGAGCCTACGGGTGGCATTTTGAACCTCCAGGCAGCGGCATTGCTTTCTCCGCAATCACGATGGCATCAGGAGCAATGCCCTGGGCCAACGTACTGACACATTGCTTTCCAAGATATCGCCAGGCATCTTCATAGATGTCGTCATTCAGGAGACTTAGCGGAATGTCTCTGTTCAGAAAGTGAACGCAGTCGCCGCTTTCAGACTGCGAGACAAGATAGTCTACTACGCGATCATGGTGATGCTTGCTGCGATCTATATGGTTCTGGCTGGCCGTACCGCATTGACCATGGATGACCTCGGACTTTGAAATTGACATTTTTGGAGGGTGGATTGAAATCGTTGCTGGTGCGAAGTGCAGAAGGAGCGAGCGGCGCAAAAGGGTAGTCGAGGGAGAACTTTGTATCTTTCCAAAACAGCTCCATAACGGGTTGATTCGAGGTAACAAATCGACCGGATACCTCATTTCCCGTATAATGTTGCATCGCCGAATGAAAACGCATATCGACCCTTGTTAGATTCACAAGCATCCCAGTATGTTCCAAAAAGCAATTCTTCGGAGTGGGAATGAGAACATTCGTAAAGGAGGGCGTGCGCTATGTTCGAAACCAGCGATACATCCAGGTCGCGGCCGTATTCGCCCCTGAGCCAAGGAACAGAAGCCTGATATGCAACTTCTTTGTGCTTTCCATTCTCCATCCATTCAAGCAACACAGCGTCTTCCTCTACTGGCTTCACATCTGATACGTAGCCAGCCCGGCGAGGTATAGGACTCGCACAGTTCTGCGATATAGGCAGCTTAGACTGAAGGGACTTTGTTGCACTCCGATCAACATGAGGGGTTTTCGAGCCCCTCTGCAGTTTTCTCGCTGATTCGAATGGGAAGGCCGCTCACTCATGTTGCTGTGTAACTTGGCGGATTCACAAACATCCGAGTAAGTAATAGCAAGAGAGATTCTAATCATCAGAGAGCCGCTCGCAACCTCCAGTCGGCCCCCCCCCCCCCCCGAAGGATGTTAATTGATCGCCAAAACAAAAGCCTCCCGATAGCGGTGCCAAATGCGGCCGTGGTTGGTTTTAGGCTGTACTCCGTGTGCCAGAAGGTAACTGCAAGTAGTATCTCGACTTAGTTCGCCTGCCAGGGCAGACCTTCCTTGAGCAGAAGCTCGACCCCATCACTTCACGGTCATACATCTAGGTGTTGCCAGATCGAAGCCGTAGGGTCGGCCTAGCGGGCGGCACCCATGAGAACGGACTTGGAGTGCGGCCAGGTCAAGTGGCTGTACGAAACAAGGGTGCTTGCAAAGGCATGTTGAATCCGACATGCTTACGGTCCAATTACCAATCGAGGCGTTGGGCGACGATTCTTGGCTAGTGCTGCCGTCGGCCTGATGGAGGGTAGCTAGCCCCGTCGCCGCATTTCCCTGCCTCTGCGAGTGAGTGCGACAACAGTTGCGCTCGGATCAGGGCACCCACACACCGCCAAGGGTGGGCGAGGCCACTTGCCTCGATGCAAAAGGTCCTTGACGTTTTCCTTCGCCCCCGTCTCACTCTCGCTATTCTATCTGGCTCACTTTGATTCATGTTGCACGTCGCCGCAAGGCGCACGTTCAAATGGCGCGATGGCCCTGTTCGCTAAACAAGCGTAGTGCAGCACCGATCAGAGTGCTATGTCACCTACGTCTTCGTGGGACCCCTATCACTGGACGACGAGATAGGCGATGCAATGAAAGTGAGGGTTGTATTGGTCAAGTATGTGCATTGTCACGACCGCCAAGTCCAAGCTTCGCATGACCAGAAGCTGCGTCCGACTACATTGCCTCGCTTCTGATGTCAACATGCCTTCTCCGAACCTCACTTCACTGATGGCTGGAGCTTGTAGTAGTCTGTAGAGTCGACGCTGTTCTTGTCGGACTTCTCCGACATGGAGCCCCCGTTCGTTTCATCCACTGCATCACTGTCATCGTGGTCTCTTCCACCAGTGATACATTGGGTCGCTTCTGTTTTCTCAGCCGCAGGGTTGGTTGATATCGGACCTGACTATATCTTCGCCTTCATCTGCGTCGATTCGTTCGCCTTGTCGAGATCCGCCTCTCCCTTCTTGCCTATACCACCCTCGCTGCCTTCCATTACGACTTGGACCTCAAGATTCTCGTCCATGGAGTAGGCGCGGATTCCCACGATGCAAATAGCATCCCAAGGATCAGGAAGCCCCTCTTCTTCAGATTCGTAGTGCTCGTCGTGATTTTTAAGCGGTCCTGCAGGAGTGAAGCGTGGCTTTCTGACCATTTCATCGTCACTAAACAGCTCTCTCCAGTCTTCGATGGGCGAGTCGGATGAATTGCCATCTGAGTCCGATGATTTCCGCGCTGTCGGTGCGGGAGTCGGGGTAGGAGCAGGTGTATCTGCGGCGTCCTTGACTTCATCCTTTGGCTCTTCTTAGACTCCTTCTTGTCTTCAATTCTGGCTTCTTTCTTGGGCCCTTAGACTCCTGCTCGCCTTCGATTCTGGCCTCTTCCTTGCGCTCGGAGTCCTCCTCAGACTCTAGTGCAGCAGCTCCGTTTGGTGTATGTATCGTCAAACGTTGTCTTGTCCTTGGCGACTTCCGCGTGGACATCTTGATCCTCAGCCTCCTTGGCCTCCTTACCTTCCTTCATCTCTGCCTCTTCGGTCATTTCGCTTCCTCGGCTATCTTTGCTTCCGCAGCTGCCTTCTGAGAGGCCTTAAGATCAACCTTGGCCTTGGCCGCTTCTGTCTTCTTGGCTCGCTTGCGGTCGCGCTTTTTGTTATTCTTCTAGGTCTGCCGCTTGGCGACTTCGCGCTTGATGCAACGTCTCTCTTAGAGCTTGCGGCGCTCCTTCTGGCGGGACTCGGTGGCTCTCTGCTGCTCTTTGATCTTATGCAGCCTGGCGACCTCTTGGAGATGGGCAGTGCCTTTATCGTGCGTTAAGTCGTATGCAGGACTAGCCTGCGCTAACTTGTCGTTCTCGATGCGCTTCTTGTACTTGCGCTTGATCATATCCTCAATAGAGGGACTGCTGGTGTCTCTCTCGCCAGTGATATTAATGAAGATGTTGTACTCCCCGGATAGTATGTCTGGCTCTCGCTCATGAACGCGGAATGTGGCAATTGACAGCCGTCACCGCGGATGATATTGAAACCATACTGACGGACCGGGGGCAGTGGCATGTAATTCTGCTTATGGAGTCTGTAGTAGGAGTAAGAGATGGAATATCGCCTTTCGTCATATATCTTGAGCTCTTGCGAAGGCAGCTACTGGGAATATGACAAAGAGTTTACCCGGCTACGTGATAAACCTTGTCAAATGGGACATGGCCTCTCCCCGGTTCCATAAAGACGCATGTCAAGGTCTGTTGGGACTAGGGTTGGGAAGTCGCGGCGTCTCTCTGGGCGTCTGATGATGCTTGTATTCAGAACAACGTGCTTTCAACTCTACTTGTCATTGGCTCTGCATGAATGCTATAGACTGTTGGAACACGATATCATAAAGAGTTGAACACTAAGAGTCTGGGGCAGACTGCAGTCTACGAGCCCCAGGAGTGGGTGGGGGGAGAGGCGAATAGCGGCCGGGATAAGAGTAAAATGTCACCGTTCAGGCCCTCCCTCGCCACTGCCTGTTACCTCGCTTGAAAGTGCACGCTATTACCCCCACGGCTTCCAGAGCGGTAGTCGCCTGGCCGGACGTTTCGCGAAACGTAGTCACTGTCTTGGTAATCAACAAGGCCTCAGCGTGTCCACATCTTGCTGTGAGGAAGAGGATGCGCCACATCCGGCGCTATCTATAGGCTCCCAACCAAGGTCGCGTGGCCGAGAAGCAGCGACGCGCTGATTCCCTACTCGCCTCGGACGGAGGCATGGTGGTTTCGTCGGCGATGGCGGTAAAGATTGTGGAACTGATGTCCAGTCAGGGTCTCCTGCCCTTGATGTGAGGAACAATGCTTCAGCTGGCGATATAGCGAAATTGAACAGCTAGTCGCGTTTGCGTGCACAGACAAAGTACATACGCCAGACGAGATTGCGGACCGACGGTATTTGTACTCAGCGAAGCCTGGGCAGAAGAGTACACTCCTGGGATGCGGGTGGATAAAGGACACGAAGTTGTCCAGAATAGAGAAATATATCAACAGCCGTGCTGTCCATCACGCTCTTGACTGCGCTACTTGACCCAACAACGCTTCACAATTTCTGTCTCATCTCCAAGCCGTATTCTGCCGTCCAATTAGCCGCTTCTGCCATATCCTGAGATCCCGGTACGTCCATCACGGCCTCCTTTAAGCAGTGTATGGACACGAACGAGCCTCTCCAGCAATTCAAAGCCAGCCTTTCCAACGGATCGTCTTCTCGGATATCGGGGTATTGTTGATTCTTCCAAAGATCAACACGACGCCAGCCGCCCAATATTTTGTTCAGGGCCCCGTACGGCTCGAACCTCGCACCATGTAATAAACCATAGACCAATAGCGAATTGCTCATCTCTGGGCCATACAGCCCGTATCCTCCCGTTTCGATTCCGGTCGAAGCCGTGCCCATGGTGATGCACTTCCAAGGACTTCTGTCCAATGCTGGCAACACTATCAAAGTCTGCCAACTTCAAGGATTCTGCTGATCAAGCAGCATGTTCGCTGGCCGCAGGTCTCCATGGACTACTCCCAAAGCCTCTAGCCAGGCATTGGCAGCACAAAGCTCCGCGGCCCAGCGCTCGCTCAATCGCCTGTCTTCAAATCGGTCGACCGAAATGACCCTGTCTCCATCCCTTGTCTGGTTACTTTGAAGTCGATCGTGAAGGGAACCATGGGGAAGAAATTGAAGGAAATTGGCCACTTCCATGCGATAAAAGCTTTGTATAATGTGTGGGCATGGGCTATGATGGCTCTCGAACTTGTCGTAGATACTGTTTTCGTGAACGAACTCACGTAGCTTTTTTTGCCGCGGGAATTGAGCGCAATCTCGTCGTCTATTTGATAGACCCACGAAACCGCTCCAAGTGATATAAAGCGTCTTGTGATCTGTCGGTATGGGTTCGAGACGCGTTGCATGATTGACTTCGTGTGAGGACAACGGTGTGAAAGGACAAGGAAGGCAGCGATTGGCAGGAGGTTGGGTAACTCGATAGCTGATATTTATCCTACTCGGTATTGGCCGCTTTAGTCAGCAGCCATGCTAGGATGGCTCCCAATAGGCTCACGGGGTACCCGTGCATGTAAAATTCCACGGGTACCGTG